CCGCTTCTCTCGTCGCCCGAGCCAGCGCTCCTCAGGGAGCTTACCCCGCTGTCAGAGCCGCTGTCGCCATAAGTTCCGCTCGCGGCCGCGTTGCCGGTCGCGACTCGAATGCCCACCGCTGCAGGCACACCAGCGAGCACACCGCTTCCAGGTATACCGGCCCCGGCCTCCACTTCCATAAGGCCGGCCTCATCGCCGCCCCTCGATGTGTGAGACTGCTGTTGCACCTCGAGGAGGCCTGATGAGGTCAGCTGGTGATGATGCGGGGGCTGGTGCTGCTGATGCGGACTACTCACTACCTGGTGCTGGTGTAGCTGCTGTTGAGCCTGATGATGATGATGCTGTTGCTGCTGCTGCTGAGAATGATGGTGGATTACAGGACTACCGGTAGAATAACGTTGCTGGTGATGATGCGGCGGCGGTTGTTGATGATGATGCTGCTGGTAGGGCTGCAGGTGGTGGTGATGGTGACCAGCGACCGGCGGTGGCGGCTTGTTCAGCCTCTCGGCTAGGATGACAGGACTCTCGTTGTGCCTGTTCCGCTCCTGCTCCCTCTGCTGCTCCAGGAGCAGGCTCTGCCTGCCTGAGCCGCCGCCGCCGCTGCTACTAAGCGGACTCAGCCTCTCCAGCACGGAGCCTGAGTCCTGACTGCTCGACTCCAGCAGCTCGACCACGGATTCGACGCTCGCCGCCCTCGCGCCGCTCACGCTACCCACGCTATCCTCCGTGCCTAGCTCGGTAGTCAGCTCAGTTCTTCTCGGCCTTTCCTCTTCTTGCTCCTCTTCTCGATGTTCTTCGTGTATCCGCTCTGGTTCCTCCCGTTCTTCTTCCTCCTCCTCGTCCTCCTCCCCCTCCTCCTCCTCTTCTTCCTCCTGTACCTCCTCCACCTCTTCCTCCTCGGCGCTTTTCTTAGACTTCGAGTTGGACGCGGGCTTCAGCAGCGTCGCGCCAACATCGAGAAGGACGCTGGCTTTCTCGTCGAACACCGACGATCCATTCACGGACACCTGTTCCTTGCCCTTGTTCCTCTCCTGATGCGAAGCGTCCGCTTGCTTCTGTTCGAGAACCGTGTCGCCTCCAGGGTCTACTTTGTTCGGAGGTGGCGGCTCCGGTTCCCTGTCCCGCTCTCTAGATTGACTCTCCTCGTTCTCCTCGAGCTTATCGTCCTCTCCTTCGCCCACGTCCTGCCGCTTCCTCTCTTGTCCTTCTGTTTCCTCTTGATCTGACGCGGTTTCCTCGCAACCCTTCCCCCCTCCCTTTCGTTCCGATCTGAGCTTCCTACTACAACTTATTGGACTTGTCCTGAGCCTCTTGGTCAGGGGATCGTAGTGTTCCTGCTCTTCCTCGTCTTCTTCTCCAACGCGATCCTCCTCGTCTGATCTATTGCTCAGACGTTCTTCTTTCTCCGGAGACTTTGCGATGCTAGAGTGATCGAGACCATCGGGCTCTGTTTTCGTGTCTTGGCCACCAGCTGGCCTTGGTCTTCGTCGTACAGGCCTGTGTGAAGGATTCTCGACGGGACTCTTTACCACAGTGGTAGTGGCCCGTTTTCGCAATTTCGCGGCGCTACTCGACGCGCTATTCGCTTCTTCTAACACTGTTCGCGGAATACGATTGCTGGGCCTGCCTGGGGGTGGACCCTTGTTCTCTCGGTCTTCCTGTCGCGTCGATAGGTTGGTCTCGATAGTGTCTTTCTCCAACCTCTCGCGACTGGCACCTTCGCTAACGCGTCTCCGACGGTTGTTGCGCGCGGTGTTCTTCTCTGAAACAGTTTGTTTAATGATTAGATGGTTGCTATGATCAAAAATCGGATAAATATTAATGTATTTCTTCTCTGTACGCTGATTTTGTTACTCGTGAACCTTGTTCTATAAGAATATCGAAAGTTCATGGAACGTATTAAAGGAGTTTTTTGAAGAACTTCGATGGAAATAGTTGGTAAAAGTGAAAAGTGCAATGGCAGAGCGAGGCGAGCAAAGATTTAGCGTGAAATTATTATATTGTCCAATGTATAATCAAGGTTATCGATTATCGACGTGGATGCGTCGTGTCTTCTCGGTAAGTAGAAGGCTGCTCGCGTACCCTTGTTCAACCTTGTCGATTAAAGTCGATCGATTTAACGAAGCTGTTCGCAGCTCCGGTTGTTTATGACAAGAGACAACTACCTAGGAGATTCCCTAATCTCTTTGATACGCGGATCATTAGAAAATCAGTGCTCTTAGGTCTTCCTGGAAAACTATTCATTTCTTCTAATCGCTGACTCATCTGTTCGAGCACACGACTAGTGAAATGTTCGTTAAAATTATTTTCGCGAATCGATCGTCGTTAAAACGAATATGCAGCAAGAGGAAAGGGAAGCAATCGGCGGAACAGCCAGTGATCCGTGGGCTAATCTTGCGAACAAGTAATTCTCCGGGATCGGATCGACCTTCCAGATGCGCAATGCAACTTGACCCCGATAGGATTGGCAATATTTGATAGCCTAGCGAACACGTTGCACCTGGTGAATTGCCATTCGGTCTATGCTCGTGCCAGCCCCGGGAAGTTCGAGGCTCTCCTCGCTCGACTCGCTGGAAACGCGATAGTGCTACCTGAGGACAATTTGCGGTAACGCGTTTTTGCTTTGAAGTAATGATTCAGCGTGGGAAACAGCTGTATATTGGATATAGGGCTGGGTTGCCTAAATCGCAAGCTAGCCTTTTGAAATAAACAAATGCACTCTACCCTACCTTGGTGGAAATCGAATGCGAAGGGATAGAAATGTGAAGGTACGTACGTACCAACAAGGTTAAACGGACCACCAGAGTAATACCGCGTATACATGAACGGAAACGACAACAGCGAATGAAGCACGGGGAATGAAACAGAGACGGAAGAACGGACAGGTGGAGGAGGTAGGGAGAATGCATGGTGGGTGCGCGGCACAGAGGAGAAAGAAGAGAGGGATTTATTACCGAGGATTTACTGTTATTACCCGGAGGGGGAGAAGCACTCGAGCGGGCAACGGCGTTGCATACGTGGGGTGCGTTTATTCGATGCGCAGACCTTTATGTACCGGAATACATGGAGAAGATCCACGCATGTGTGCGCTCATGTAACGTGGACGGGTGCGCGTTCGCAAACTCGACGTTTCGCGTTTCCTAGCGATTGCGGTTTGTCTTCCGCCTCTCCCTCTGCAAGCATTACGCCCTGCGTAATTGAACAGCGCTAACGTACTTTGCTTTAGATTTTAATTCGCCTCGCCATTATTCCCGTGAGCGCAAAAGCGCCGACTCTACACCCTACTGGAAATAAACTTTCGACGACTATTCTCTTTTGAATTGAAGGAAAGAAGAAGAAAAAGGGGGGGGGGATATGAAGAAGGAAAGAGTCACCCCGCTAGAACTATTATTTTACCAGGAGGTAAAATCGTATCGTACATACCGAAGAAGGAAACACATTTCATCACGGTCAGTTTTCGCTCGAATAACGCGACCGCCTCTCTGGAGATCGAAGCACCAAGCCACAGCGCGATTGGTTCCTCGTTTCCAAGCGCCTTGTTTGGGTTCGTTCCGGACCGCGTTGGACCAGATCACCGGAATTAGACGCGTTCTCAAAGCGACAGAAACCAGAATCGGTGATTTCTAACCGAACCAAACCACTGAAATTCCTCTCAATTCCTATGTATATACCCGGAACCTGGCCGTCTAGTTTGCACGAATTTGCTTTTGGATTGCCTCGAAAGTTGTGCAGAGAATCGATCGGAATCGAAGGTCTCTGGGGAGTGATTAAATGGTCAACGTTCTGTATCTATCGTGCTTATGCACTGTTCTGTTTTCAGCTTCGAATAATCGGTATTTCAAGACAGACAGATTTTCGCGTTTGACACCAACAGAGAACGAACTATAATCCAAGCAATGAGTTTTCAACGGAAAATAAGAGGATTACTGGCGGAGGTTATTGAGGTGCACGTGACGGGTGATTACACGGCCGGGATCTCGTGTTTCGTGTCAAAAATACGCCGCGGACAGGATATGAATTTTCATTTCGTGGAAATGTTCATTTGCGTATAGCATTCTCGCAACGTTCCATTCTTCGTCAACGTATTTTTCCGATAAAACCCGCTAGAGTGATGCGCTTTGCCGAGATAGGTTTGCCCATCGGCTCTCGATAAATACTGTTAAATGAATTAATAATATTACAAGTACAATAGACATAACGTCAACCCTGTTCGATAAAGTTCGATGTATCAATGAACATCCCGAATGAAATTATCGTGACAGGTACTATGCAGATTTCTATCGCAACTTGATAAATATCGTGTTTTCGATCTACACGGAGAGCTTTCGAGCGATTGGCCTTTATCGGTAGAAGGGTAAAGTTGAGAAGAACAACTATATGGATCCTCTTTGTCAGAGAGGACAAAGCAACCCTTGCACTACGACGGATATCGACTTGTCCTGAGCCAGGTCGCGTAGGGATGAAATTAGACACGGTTGGCCGAGTCTGGCGAGTATTCGAACGCTTTGTCAAAATCGGAACGGCATGCAGGTAGTCCTTCGACTTTGCCAATGCAGCAGCCCCCTTATCGATTATCCACCCTTATCGGTTCCCCTTCCTTTCTCTGCATCACGCTTCCTCGCTGGCTTTACACACTTCATTATGATGACAGTAAATGCAGGTATTATCCATTTTTTTTAACCATAAAAACTGTTCGAAATAAAACTCTCTTTTTCCAACCCCTTGAAACCTAGTTTCAATTTTGCTTGACACGACACGAATTTCCCCCGTTATACGAGGGTTGCCTTTAATTAGAAATCACAATCGAAGGCTACTGCTGCATTGAGCGTCCACAACACACAAAGGAGGGGAAAAAGGAGCAGAATGGTTGGTGAATGAAGCGTGGAGGGAAATAGGAGGCAGCCCAAAGGGGATCAGAAAATGGTTTCTCGAGAACAGTTCGCGTCTCGTCTTGCGCGGTTATTTTCGAGCCTCTCTATTTCTGGCCGGTGCGGCGCTCGCCTGCGAGGATCTCCCGCGCGTTTGTTGATAAACTTATTTCGAACTGTGTGCTCGGAGGAGGAGAGTGATTTTCGTGCGAAAGCGGGGGAAAATGGCGAGATCGGGGGTGGGAAGACGGCGAGAACGACACCGGGTATAAAAATAAAAGGGTTGGCCAGCAGCCAGAAGACCTCCTTTCCACTTTTCTTATTCTTCTTCCGAGACTCGCAGGCCCCATGCCAAGCTGCGCGCCGACTGCCCAATTTACCCGTAAAACGACCATCCACGATTCCAACGTGCCGCTTTGATAAACCCTCCATGCAGTTTCCATCCTTTCTTTTCCCTTCAATCGATCATTGTTCACCCTTTTTTTAACAAGCACATTGCTAAAAACCTAACCTAACCTAACCTAACCCTGTGAATTATGTAGCTGCGTTCGTCGAAGAGGCATGCGGGACAGGAAAGCAGAAATTCCGAGAGAAACAAACAGCAACGGGGGTAAAAATAAAGCGTGACGATCGACACCGTGGACACTTCAGTTCAGCCGCCTTCGGTCGAATTAAAGTGGAACGTCGTTTATAAAGGGATTGACGATCGGCGTGGAGATGAACTGGGTCAATCTGTTCGATTTCCTTCGCCTGCATCTCGTCGAGCCACTATGTAAACGTACATGCGCATACACTTTCAAGAGTACCCTGAACATAAACCGAGAAGATTGAGAGTCACTGGCCACTTTGTTCGTTCACTACGACAAATTTTCTCCGTGACAAGAGTCAAGGCTGACGAGTTGAAAGAGAAAGAGAGAGAGAGAGAGAGCGGCGAACGGTCCCTGAAAAAATAAAAACCAATTCCGTATGGGCAACACGTGACGAATTCCAGCCACCCCAAAGATCGCGTTTCGACTTCTTTCCCTCTTCTCTTACGACCGGCTCTTTTGTTTCCACGGCTGAAGGGGAACAAAAACCGGGAGATGATCCGCGAAGAAATAAGAGAACACGCAATGTCTCGCGGAGCATCGCGATGCCTCCGGTGGAGGAAAAAAGCGGATTAACGACCACGGTCAATCGGGGAAACGTCAAGTGAATTATATCACCGGTGGCGTTGTGAAACTTTCCTTCTTACGCAGCTTATCTCTGTCCAGCAAACGTAACCTGTGTTACGCAATCCACGTGGTTGGGTAACATCAACTGCGAACGATATTGCCTCTCCGGCTCGGATGAAATTCCTCTAATTTTCCTGGACAATTTCACGCGGCCATTTTGTCCCTACAATTTGCCATCATTCACGTGTAGAAAAGCTTCACTCGCAAATTTCCTTTTGCTGTATAAATTATAAGTAATTTCGTCACGCCTGGATGACAAGTGTATCTTTCAATGAAAAAGAGTTTCAACCGATGTTAACAAGGAGCTTAACTTGTAACGAAATGTCCCGCATTATCCTTCGAAATGTAGAGCCTACGAGTCGCAGAAAACCTTGAACTTGCCAGGGAGCCGGAAAGCGGCAGTTAATTCTCATTCAGTAATTCCAGCGTTAAGGGGGTTAACGGCACGAAGCGAGGAGAGGCGAGGTGAAGCGAGGTGATATGAGGCAAGGCGGGGCAAGGAGGTGGTCTCTGGTTGGATTTTCAGCAGAGGCGGAGGAGGCGAGATGTCCCCATTGTTTCTGAATTATTTATTAGCCGTAGCCTCGGATCGCAACGATTGAATGGTCAGTGACCGGATGTGACGTGCCTGCGGACCAAGATGGCCGGCTACGATAATTACTCGCGTGTTTACGACCGAT